AAAGTTGTCCGGATCCCAGTTTGACATTAAAACGGCATTTTTGTATGGTGATCTTCATGAAGACGTTTTTAGTGGTGTTAAAATAGACAGAGGACAAAATATTGTCTGTAAATTAAGGAAAAGTTTATATGGTCTGAAACAAGCTCCACGATGCTAGAACCATAAGTTCAATAAATTTCTCATTAATTACGGATTTTATGCTAGTATAGCCGATTCATGTGTATACAAAGGTATTTTGGACAACGAAACTGTTTTATTAGTGATTTATGTTGACGATGAACTAATATTTTGTAAAAATATGTGTGTTATTCAAAATATTCCAAAATTCAAAAGGGTATTTATTACAGTTGGTAAACCAAGTTACTTTGTAGGACTGGAAATACTACAAAACGACAAGCTAACTATGTTAAACAAATCATTAAAAAGTTTGGACTAGAAAATGCCCAGCCAAATAGTGTACCTGGTGACCCTAATACAAACCTAACCATGGAGTTTACTGATTAATTAGTAGGACGAGTGCCATACCGAGAAGCTGTAGGCAGTCTTCTATTTGCTGCCACAGTAACAAGGCCACATATAATGTTTCCTATATCAGTAGTAAGTCGTTACCTTAATAATCATGGTCAAATTCACTGGAATGCTGTAAAACGAATAATAAAATATTTACTTGGCTATTATGTTTGATGTAGGTTTTTAAAAGTATATTAATAAAGATTGTTCTAAATAGTGTTCAATTTATGATTTTACCAGAATCTGAAGTCTCCACTAGATCTTTAACAGAATCGACATGCATTCCACAGAGACACATTTTGAGAAAGGCGATCCAGTATGGCTGTACAATTTTAAGCGCCGAAAAGGTCTTTGTCAGAAACTGCAACGGAACTGAGAAGGCCCCTACACCGTCCCCAATAAAATCAACGACCTGATCTACCGCATTCAGTTGTCAGTTGGAAGTAAACCCAAGGTAGGTCACATTAAAAACTTAGCTTCATATCGTGGTGCAGATCCTCCCCGTTGGTTCCAACCAGGTCCCAGTAATCAAGTTATTCGGGGCGAATAACTAGAGAAGAGGGAGCAATGTTACGCAGCACTCTGTAGTAGCTTGCAGCTGTGATAGGAAATGTACGAATACAAAAAGAAGTGCAATGTTAATCATCGCCCTGTGTTCATCATAAGTAAAAGTACGAGTAAAAGAAGATAGAATATTCCAGAAATGACTGGAAATGTCATTACTTGTCAAGAACAAGTATTAGAAATTAAAAATTTAAAAAAACCGACTTCCAAAACGTGCAGATTCTATCACCACATCTTAACCAAATTTATATGGGACCGCCCCTGAGGTACCCCCTTACTAACAAAAAAAGAATCATATAAATCGGACAAGGTGGTAAAGCATTATCGCTAAACATACATAAAAAATGAAGATTTTCTCATGGACTCAATTATTAGATTTTAACCAAATTTACATGGGCCTTTTTCTAACAAAAAAAAATCATTGAAATCGGACACCGTGTTAAAGAATTATCGCTGAACATACATAAAAAAAAAATTAAGAAAAATATTGCAACGAATTGAGAACCTCTTCCTTTTTTGAAGTCCGTTAAAAATCTAAACGACAGTTTAAGAAGGTTCGAAAAGGGTCCAGCAAGCTATATAAGTCGATGATCTGGACGTTAATGTTATCAGCTGTATAGTTATTGTAAAAATTGAGTTGAAATAAATTGAGATACCAAAAACCAGTATAACAATACAAAATTCCATTAAACATCTTTTAAGTAAATAGTTTATTATGATGGTAATAAACAAAATCCATCCCTGTTACAGAGATCGGGTCTCCGCACAGTTCCCCCACTCCGTTAACCTTTCTTTAGAAATTGGCAATATTTGCGCAGAATAAACACCGGTGTATGTTATATCTGGCCTCTTTTATCTAAGGTCATTGTAAATGTGTTGGTATCTCTGTTGTGTGAATGAATTTTCATTGCAGCGGACTAATGGAAGATACCTTTTTTGTTGAAATGAAGTTTGATGTTCTACAGGTTTTTCATCATTTTCTTCAATACCATCAATTAAAACACTCTGTGAAATAACTCTTTCTTCAGATGTTTCAGCAGATTGTTCGATATTTTCATTTAATTTTTCTTTATGTAATATCGATTCCTTTATTTTTATATTGCTGGTTATATCTGCACTGACTGAAATATTGTCTATTGTTAAATCAGGTAACGTCGTAGAGTCCACAGATACAGCTTCTTGCTAAAATATTAAATTAATTAATTATAATTATGTTACAATAAAATCGCTATGATATTAATTCTAGAATATCAACTATTTTTTGATATTAGTGAAGAGAAAGTAACCTAACAACTATAGGTTATATATTGCTTAAACTTAAGCTGTTGTAAATGATACATGACGAAGATGCATCAATGAACGATGATTACTGACCTATAGGCGATGATTAAGTGCACACACCAGGGTATCTATTCGTGAATATCAGGGAGTAGAAATTTTTAGAGAAGAATAAGATAAAAACACAAAGTTTGTGCGTTGCAGATAAAAAGGAAAAAATCACTTTTCTATTCCCTCGAATTTAAGAATAGCTACCCATACCTTAGTTATTATATCCATCTGCCAGCTCCATCTGTAGTTGTTGCACATAGTTAAGAGGGTTCTTTACCCGTCCGCCATATTGGAAATAATGTTCAAATTGCAGGCTTAAAACCCACAAAAAAAACTTTTTTTGTATCCGAGCTTCTTATTAATAGTAGATTGGCGCATGATGTAGTATATTACATTACGAGTGTGAAAAATCACTTTTCACACAAGTGATGTACAATATTTTTCCTACGACCACAAAATAATTTCATCAAAAAATGTAAAACCAGATTATTATAATAATTAAAATGTTTTTAAAAAAATAATCAACAATAATTGTATTTATTCAACTTTCATATTTTCTAAACAAAAAAAAAATTAAAAAACAAAAAAAAATAAGAAAAAAACAAAAAAAAATCTGGCCCCGCCAGGATTTGAATGCGGTCGCTCGCCAGGTCTCAAATGGCAAAGTTGATAAGTTTGACGCTGTAACCATCTGAGCTAATAGGCTTTGCTTCAATTGAATGATCTAATCGGTTATGTGTTTAACCAGAATAAAGAGCAAACATATCTTAGTTATTTTAAAATTATTTTAATAATAATTATTAAAGATAAATATCTGGGATCTAATTTACAACAATTTCAATAATTTAACAGTCATATCGATTTTAGTATTAATATGGACATTACATAGATCAAAATAGAAATGATGTGTTTGACATTTTGTGACAGCTGCTGTGGAAAGTAACATATTCGTACACGGGTGGAAAGTAACATATTCGTACACGGGTGGAAAGTAAATTATTATTCATACGCGTGTGATATGTGTCACTTTCCTAAGTGGTCGTAGGAAAACTATATTTTATAAACATGAAAAAAATAAATTGAAAAAAATATAAAAAAGTCGTATACATTTACCACTTTTTAAAAAAGTAAGTAATTTAAGTAGCTTAAAAATCTCAGAGGACACCAAAAGGTGCTGCCGCCAACGGTCCTCTTTAACGTTTGGATACATGATTTTTATTTTATATGTCAGATGACGTACCAGTCGCGAAAAGTATGTTGTTGTCTAAACCAATAAAAATTACGCGAAATTCTCCGATCTATAGATCGGAGAACGGCAAACAATAAATATTGTGTTTTTTTGTCGAATTGTGAATTCATTTCCAGCTTTTAGGTTCGGTGTTGCCGTCTCTACAGATAGTTTGTGAATCCACAGACAAAGCTCATAGTAGCGTTGGAAATTGTCCGTTTTTAAAATACATTTCTACAAAAAAATTATTCCCAATGAAATTTGTTTTAATTACGAAAAACAAAATTCACAGTAATCAAATTTCATGAAAGATAAATAGGGTGCGCATAAAATTGCTATAAAATAGGTAGGTAGGGGAAGTCGGGGCAAATTGCCATAGCTAAGGTTTGATTAATTATTAAAATAGTACCTATTGAATGATAAGATTATATTAAATATAGCTCTGATGGTTACTGTTTTTTCTATCTAAACCGACATCCAAAATGACTCCATCTTTTTTTTCTCTAAGTTCTATGTGATTTTTCAAAATGTGTATTATTTTTTACTTTGCCCCATAATAGGGGCAAAGTGAAATACTCGTAGGGGCAAAGCAAAAAATTAATTTTTTGGTACAAGAGAGCTGTAATAAACAATTGAACTAATTTAGGCACAAAAGCATTATTTAGTTATGTTTAATTTGATTAAGAAAATAAGCACTTTTCAATAAAATCAATATTTTATAAAAGTATCAATATGGACGTTTTCAAGTGCCAAAAAATATTCACAAAATTTCAGTTTATTCAATAATATATTATGATAATGTAGCAGACTACCCGTTAAGCGTATCTACAAATGTATATTCATCCACCATATTTTAATTACAGAAAGAAATATTTAAAAAAACATACGGGGTAAAGTGAAACGTTGGGGTATAGTGAAAAGTGCTTAATTAATTCATTAAATACTAACTACCACCTTAGCTATACAATATAGCTATTATAATAGCGGTGAATATTAATAAAATGTTTTATTGCATACAAAAATATTTATTTGCTACATAAAATAAACCAAATGCTAATGTAGCTATTATAATAGCGGTGAATATTAATAAAATGTTTTATTGCATACAAAAATATTTATATGCTACATAAAATAAACCAAATGCTAACAAAAAAACGTAATTATTATAAAAAAAAACTAAAAGACCTACAGACAAACAAAATATAACATAAAAAATAATCAGTAACTTGGTAGTGTCTCTACATAGGTACTGAGGATAATGAACTAATTAAATTGTATTTTCTCGTACCGCAAATGAACGTATCTTGAAAGCTTTATAAATATCACTAATATCGTCTACATTCGGGAAAATGAATATATCTTTATGATTTTAATAGTTTCTCAAAAATTTGACGGTGTAGATTTGATCTTCATTTGATTCTAACCTATCTGAAACTTTTAAAATTTGTCCGACAAAATCTTTTTTATTAATCTTATAGTCTTTTAATTTAACCAGGATAAACTCGTCTTCCTTTACATTTTCTTCTGATAAAGTAAGTACTTTTTCTTCGGGATATATTGTATCTTCAGCACTATCGTCGGAGAATTCGGGCAAATCAGACGATGAATTTTTGCACAAAAGTGTTTCATCAACTGTATCAGAATCTTCAGAGTCGTCCGTTACATCCTTTTGAACGCGCTTGCGTTTAGAAATTACTGTAATATCATCTGCTATCTTCCTTTTTACTTGTTTTATGTTTCTTTTTTTGTGCAGGAGTGGTTTTTGTCGCCTTTTGGAGTTTTAGTTCTTGCAGATACGGGGAAGACGTAATGATTGTGGTTTTTCCACATTTTTTGGTATGGGTAGTAATTCTGCTGGGGAATAGTATTTTTAGGCACTTCGTATTTAGTTTTTGATGGGCCAGGAACTGGATATATTGCTGATACATCTTTTTCAATTAAAATGTTAGTATATATATACCGGGTGTTCAAATTAAAGTGTTACAGTTAAATACCGCCGAATAGGCATTTTAGAAAAAAAAGTTTCAGACAAAAATTTTATAGTTTTTAGGGGAAACATTTTGGCTAAATTCATTTTTTTATAGCTGACCATAATATGACCATATCGAGGTGAACTTTGTTTTTTTAAATGAGAATCCCATTTTTTTCTTACATATTCTTAAAGTACATAAAAAAATAAGAAACTTTTGAGGGAAATATTTTTTTTATTGTACTTTTACTTTTTGAGTAACAGCTATTTGAAAATGTTGCTGCGCGAAAAAAAAGTTGGCCATATTATGGTTAGCTATAAAAAACGATTTTAGCCAAAAGTTTTCCTTACAAAACTATAAAACTTTCGTCTGAAACGTATTTTTTTATAAAAAGCGGTATATAGCTGTAACGCTTTAATTTAGAACACCCGGTATATTTGATGGTTCAGCTAGAACTGGCGACATAGCTACAGCAGAACAGGTGCTAGCTTCTGTAACAATATTCGAAACGTTTTCGGTATCAGATTGGTAATTATAGGCCCTGGAATGTTGCTTTTGCTCTCTATTTGTAGTTTCCGACGGTTCAAATAGCTCATCAGGAAACATTTGAGGATCCAAAGGACATATTCCACTCATCGCATTCTGAATCGTCGCTGCACGGATGTAGGCTTGTCCGAATAAAGCTCCCACTTCTGCAATATTTACGACGCGCCCAGGATGATTGCGGAGCCAGGTCTTTACGTTTTTTCATAGAAGGTGCTCATTGGATACATAAATGACACATCCAAAGACTGCATTCGATGGGACGTATGTGGAGGCAGCACAAGTATATGGATATTATTTAGCCTAGCAATATCAAGTAATGTTAAATTTTTGACGTGAGTGGCATGTCCTTCCAAAATAAGTAGAACGGGATTTTCATAAGAAGGTCTAGCATATTTTATAAAATGATTTATCCATATTGACGCGAATATTTCCATTTGCATCCAGCCTGATGGGTGGTATACTATTTCCGTTTCAGGTGGAAGTTCTACCTCCATCAGAGGATTGTTTCTAACCCTGGGTAAAATGACTAGAGGTGAAATAAATTGACCCATAGCATTGCAACAAATAAGAGACGTTACTGTTACTCCTCTTTCTGCCGAGGATAAAGCACCAATTTGTTTTTTTCCCTTACAAGCAATTATTTTTGATGGCTTGTTAGGTACCGTGGTAATTACCGTTTCATCGCAGTTATAAATTGCGCTAGGGGGGAAATTGTATGGTTCCATTAGACTACCCAAAAGTTCAGCTCAGGCAGCTGATGTATTTTCCGGAGCTCGTACTGACACACTTGCTGGTTTCTTTTCAAGAAACCTTCACCCTAGTCTTTTCCTGCCATTTTGTTATTTTGGGAAAAGTTGTGAGGAATTTTATTTTTGTCCGCGTACTGGTACGCAAGCATTCTTAAGTCTGTTATATTGAGGCCAAATAATCTCTTTTCCATGCTTAAAACATGAGTTTCTAATTTACTTTCCTGCTCCTCAGTGAAAATGGGCCTAACTGTTTTTAGTTTTTAGTTAAGCAATATTTTTGTTAGTCGTTTTTAAATGACGAAATAGCGTTGATAGCGGAACTTCGAAGGTTTTTCTGGCTTCATTAATACTCATAGTTTCCTGTCTTATTGCAGATATGGCATTAATCATGCTCTCTTCATTTTATTTATGCTGTTTCGATTTCCTTTGGTATTTTCTGACCATTTTAAAGCATTTTGCTAAAAAAAAAAAGAAAATTCACTTTACCCCAAGACCTTAAAATATTGGGCAAAGTGGAAAGCATTTCACATTGCCCCGAATACATTATTTTTACTTTGCCCCAAAGTATACGACACCAAAAAAAAATGCATAGAAAAAAAACAAAGTCTTAGAATTTTAACTTTATCACAAAAGCACTGAATACTTTAGCTCTCTATATACAAAATTCAAAATAAAAACGATTAAAGGTACTCGAAATATCTTATGTTGCTTTCCTTACAATATTACAGTGGAAACGTATACACACGAGATATGTACACCACGGCGTCCAGTCTTCAACATAAAAATTGATCGAGCTGATGGATATAGAACCCTCTTAAGTCGAAAAAAAAAGAAGCTAACTAATAATTAGTCATTTGTTCACGATTTATATATAGATGGGGTTAGGTGTTAGTGACCGCAGGTTTTTCAAAATCGGCCTTTTTCAAAATGATAATTTTTCGTTCTGTTTCACTTAAAATAATTTAAATATCATATTCTTCACTAGACATACTTAGGTGGATATAATCCATTGGGTTATGTTCTGTGAGAGAAACAAAAATTTAAAATATTGTATTGCCACCCACTGATTAACTATTTATAATTTATACTTACTGCCAATTGTTGAAGATGAAAGGTATCTGTTAACAAATTCAATGAATATTTTACAGGTAAAAATGTAACATTCTGCATAATAATGGTTCTGACGTTGTATGAGCCAATTTCTAAACATCCAAAATCTAATTCTTGTGGAAGAAACTGAATAGAAGGATAACACATTTCGCCGGTTAAAAATATTGACTCCTGAAATATTATAATGTTTTGTAAAGAAAGTTAGAAAGGTTAGAAAATAGGTTATGCTAAACAGATAAAGGGGTCTATTCTGTAAAAATTCCTTTATATTTAACGGCCTTTAAAAATATTTTCTTCTTTAATTCGGTCACTATTTAAACGTATCTTTAAAATACATTAGAGAACTATCTTAAAGAAATCTGTTTAAATAATGATAGAAGTAAATTAACGAATACGAACATATTTTTATAGGCCGCCAATATTTTTAAAGGCCGTTAAATATAAAGGAATTGTTACAGAATAGACCCCAATGCTATTCAAAAATATAATTATTGACTTTTAAGATACTTTTTTAAATGAATTAATTAATAAAAGGTGGGAAAACAATGTATAATTCACAGTATTTGTGCTATAATTAAATAAATGAAAAAAAAATATATATTTATGATTCCTTATAAATATGTCGTAAATACTGTTACCAGTAATAATAAAAGATAGCTCAATCACTGGTAAAATTCATATTAAAAAAAGTTACATGGGTTACTTTTTGAGATATTTTAATTTAAAATGCTGATGAATTGGGACCAAGTGAATGGGGGTAGCGGGACGACATTAATACTACGTATGTTTTTTCATTGTAAATATTATATAAATTTTATTTCACGCTGAATGTCGTTTCTCCTATTCGATTCAACTTAGTAATAAGGTAGATAATAGCTTATGTCATTTTTTCAATATTACTACGCATGTCTTTCCATTGTGAATTACATCTAAATGAAATTTTACGCTGAATGTCATTTGTCCTGTTCGAATCGGTTTAGTAATAAAGGAGATATAAGCATAGATCCGTTTGGTATTAATACTGCTCATGTTTTTTCGTTGCAAATTACATGTAAATAACATTTCACGATGATTGCTGTAAATTTCCAATTATTAATAATAAAGAAGATATATGTTAATGTCTTTTTTGGCGATGATACTGCGCGTGTTCTTTATTAAATATGAGATCAATATCTCCTCTTCCTTGATGGTTTTACGCCACTCTCTAGTTCGTATTGAAAGAACTCGATAGTCCTGAGTCACTTCTTCTGCTCATCTTCTTCGCCTTCGATTCTCCAGTGGCTTTTTCAACGTCACCTCAACTTAAGATGGTTCTACGTCAGTCCTTTGTCGCCTTTTTTTGTCTTCGAGTCTCAAGAGGCTTCTTCAAGGGCCTACCTTACTCCCTCAATTTCTCTTATTCGTTTTCGACTCTCCAGAAGCTTCTTCAACAGTCTCGCTGCCGCAGGTGTAGAGTTAAGCTGTTACTTTAGCTTTCCTGATTCTACCAATAAAAACGAATTTGGTCGTTACAATAAATGCTACTGATGCTAGAATCCTATTGCGCATCTTTTTGTCGTTATTTATTACATCAATATGACTTTTCTCATTGAATATCGTTTATCCCGTAGGAATCCGGCCAATACTAGTTAAACGTTATTGTACTCTTTACAATACTATTGTTTACTCCTAACAAATCGATTTAATATACGCTAGTTCAGTGATGATGTAATTATGGTTCCACTGACAATTAAAGTGACAGTAGATTTTTGAGTGCGTTTTGTTCGTTTTGTTTACCTAAATTATATCATTTTTTTATAAATAAATTCCTAAAGTAAGTAAATAACATGCATCAAATATGCAATGGTTTAGTTACCAATTACATACCTTTAAACTATTTATTATGACCTGTTAACAATATTTATAAATAAACTTTGCATCGAAAGTGTAGCACTGAGCTACGTCACTTCTGAAAATATCGTTCCATCCATACAATTTGTATATATGGAACGATATTTTCAGAATTGGTGTAGCCCAGTGCTACACTTTCGATGCAAAGGAAAAGATCTAGTAAAAACGTGTATGTCAAATGTATTGATGTTTTTGTTAAAAGTTTGGTTAGAATTAAATGTCAGTGGAACCAAAATGACATCACACCGAACTATGAAGACTAGAGATAAGGAGGCGAATCGGCATGCTCAAAATACGGTCCCAAAAATCACACGTCAATTGAGCTTTTATAATTAACCGCATGAGCGCTGGTACGGTTTACGTAGTTCAAAATACATGGCTTCTTATGGGAATTATACATATTATTGTCAAAATAATAAAAATAAACTTGTTTATAGCTAAATAAAGCACAGAAAATACTGTTGTATTTAGTTTTAAATAAGTCTTACATATTTTATTTGATACATTATTTACTATTTATTCCTATTTAGGTAAAATGCAAATTATTGATGGTAAGTGTTGAAATTTGATGTGTAGGGCTAATTATTTTTTAATTAAAGCTAAATAGGGCTGAGGGCATACTAAGACATGGTTTAAATAAAAATATTTAGTTAGGGATTTTACAAAATTTTATGAAAATAATAAAAATCAAATTGTTTATTGCTAACTAAAGCACAGAAAATACTGTTGATTTTAATTATTGTAAATGAGTCTTTTTTTTAATTGCTAACTAAAGTACAGAAAATACTGTTGGTATTAATTATAAATGAATCTTTATGTTAAACATTATTTACTATTCATTATTTAATTTTATTAAAAAAAAAAAATGAAAATTAGGTATGACCAAATTTGAAAAGGTTTGTTATATGGTGAAATTTGGTGAGAACAGTTCTGTGGTAATTTTATATTCGTCAACCACTATTTCATCATCCTGCTGAATAGTTTCTTCAGCAATAGGTTCTAGTATTTTCTTCCTTTTTTTATTCTAACAAATTCAGTTCGGTTCAATGGTGGTTTTCGTCTTTTCCTAATACTGGACAAGTATGAAGGGAGATTCGTTAAAATAACCTCATCAAATTTTAAAATATCATCTTCTAAAAAGTGTAGCTCGCAAACAGAATTATAACTAGACAGTACTTTATCAGCCCTAGGAATCACATGCTGCTATTGTTCTAAACGTTTAGGATCCTATAAAAAATATTTGCAATGACTAAATTGGAGTTCAATAAAGAAAAATAACAGTAGTAACTCTTCATCTAACATCAAAAAACATAAAAAAAGCAAATTTTCTTTTCTAGTAAGTTAAATTTCATGTGTAATTATTGTTGTTTGTAAGTCAGGATTTATAACTTTATTATTTTTTATTATAGAATTTTGCAATTAAATAAACTACACTCCGTAAGATACGGGTTGTGACCAGTTTACAATAAATATATATTATTTAGAAATAAATACATTATTTTAATTACACTAGGAGCTTTAAAAATACTTGGGTTTTTATCTCCTTGTGTTTTATTTAATTTTATATCGGATTTATATCCCGTTTTTCAACCTGGAACGAGGCAAATCCTGCTTTGCCGTTTTTTGTTACTCATTGTTACTTGTAGTCAGGTTCTTTATTTCAGCATATTTTTATTCTTTTCACTAAATTTTACAAAAATCACTTTAATTCCCATTGACTTGAGTAAAAAATAGACGTCGTTATTTTGCCACCCGCCAACTACAGTAGTTTTTTGGAACTCCATAAAAATAGGGACGGAAATTTGAAATTTGACCAAGGCTGATTCGCCTCCTTATCTCTAGTCTTCATAATACCGACCGACCGAACTAGCGTATTAACGCTGTCTGTCATGTTACCTGTCACGAATTTCGCCTGTCAACTCAAACAGTGGTACCAATTCCCCTTGTTCCCAATTCACCCTTGTTCCCAATTCCACAATGCACCATATTTTACAACTGTGACATTAACAAGTGATATCATTTCTTTCATGCCCCCAATGCATCATATTGTCGTAGAAGGTCAGCTGTCATGTCACATGTAAAGGAGAGTTTAAAGTAATTACTTACAGTTTTAGGATATTCGGGTATGTTAACAATTAATTTTCCGACACTCTTTATATATCGTTTTGAAAATTGCTGTGGTTGAAACTCGATTACTACAGTTACTTCCCTTCCAACTTCCAGTTTATGATAATACGTGTCTTCATATTCATCCTGATAGAGCTTTATAAGGAAGTCATCGGTGGTACGCATCACTAGTGTTAAAGGTATTTCAACTTCATTTTTTATTACCACCTCACCTGCATATAATAATTATTATTTGAATTTGGTGTTAAATTTTAAAATTAATTAAAAAATTATTTTAATAGTTAAAATTTGTGTTTTTAGTAAAAATATATTGTAAATAGTAATAAAATTAAATATAATACCTTCAATTTAGTATTCATAGTTGATACGCTAAAAATAAAATAAATTACAAAATATTCTTTTAAAATGTTATTTTGAATATGTGACATCCTGTATAAAATTGGTATTGAAATAATTTAAAATTTAATAATCGCCGCACGCAATACTCCTGAGAAATGAAAATTTCGCGTAGTGGGAAATTTATTTGGGCAGTCGATGTCCAATCTTTTCTAGAAATTCATTTTAACATCATATCGTTAAATCATCCACAAGTGTCTTTGGTTGCGATTAGTAGAAATTATATTTCTACTTTTTGTTAGTTATAAGTTAAATTTTTGATTTAGATTTATTTAATATGGTTTAGTAATTCTTTTTGTGCTGCTGGAAATACACATTATTTTTATAAATTTTTTATTGTTGAATTTTTTTAAAAAATAGTTGTCTCATACAAGATCCTCGTGAAAAACAGAATTTATGTTTGTTTAGCAGTGCAATATTTGAATGTGAAAATAGACAACCACATTTTTATAATCAGACCAGTTATCAATTTACCTGAAAGCAGTGGTTGGAGTTTGGGCTCGTTGAGCATATACAATCTATAAGGACTGCTGCCGCAACAGATAATCAGGTGCTATCTATACAATTATTATTGTAAAATAATTTAGGAGGCTAAAACCTAAAATTATCGTACGATAAAGATTATAATGTAGTGTTGGTACCAGCAAATAAGATCATTTATCTTCATAAAAATTTAGGTATAGTTATTCACTGTCAAAATTACATTTCCGCAATTTGAAAATAAATAAATTTATTTATATACTTGTGAATCTTATTTTTAAAGGTTACAACTATTCTCTTTTCACTTAAATTTTGTATAATTTTAAATTGTCTTTTTGATAAAGCTAGAGGTTATAACTCTTAACTAGCTTTAAAAAAATAAAAACAAAATATTGGCGCCCTTTCTTTCCCAAAAACTATTTCCCCAAAAGGGTCTGCTAGAATAGCTATTTGTGCATTAAGAGCGGAAAGTGCTATTTTACCGCTTAAGATACAAAGTTACCGCGCGACGCGCAGCGGAGTGCGACATTTAATCGTAAGTGGCAAATAGCTTTCCGCTCGAATTACACACAATATTTTTTCTACGATCACACGATATTAAAAATAGAGGAGAAGTGCCAAATATGGAATACCATTTTGTTTTTGCCTTGTATTTTTTGTTTTTTTTTGTTTTTTTTTTTTGTTTTTTTTTTTTTAAAGAAGTTTCTACTTTTATTTATAAATATACATTAGTATTTTATTTATCAGGTTTTGATATTAGAAATGAGAAAATTTGTATACCGGCATCCTCAAAAAATAATCTTTGAAAAAGGGGAATTTTGTATCGAATGTGGAATATGTACATAATATGGAATAGGGTAAGAATAAAACAATATAAATTTCAAAATATTTTTTAACTTTATTAAACATATATGAATTCCTTTAAGAAACGAAGTTTAATTTAGTTTAGACCTTGAACAAGTAAAAGTAAACCTACCTATAAAAAATAAAATAAAGGTAATGTATTTTTTAATGAAATGCATATTGACAAAACAAACTAATGTTCTTTACAAAATTCACAAATAAAAATATCAGTTTCACATCCCGAACAATCGATATGGCACCACTCTTTGCAGACAACGCATTCTATCCACTTCTCCCCTTTTCTATCATCCAAAAACTTTCCATTGCAATAGAAACAAGTAGCGTCATCTTCCTGTGGTTTGTCTGCTCCAATGTCCTCCTCAGAAGAATTGTCTTTGAAACTCGCGGACTCCGATTCTGAAGAAGAATCTTGAATAATCGCCTTCTTCTTTGAAGCACTGGTTTTGCGCAAATTGATGTTACTACAGGATGGTCGATTTAGGTCAACTGATAATTCCGCTAACACTTTACGCTTCACTGTTTTAGCTTCTTTTGAAGAGACTGCATTTATTGAAGTTTCTAACTCATATTTATATGGAGATGAAGTTATAATTGCTGCCTTTCCAGGTGCCCTTCCTTTTCGAGGCCCTTTCTTTTCTTTAAAAGTTGGCACTGGTGAAATATTTTCGGGTCCAATAAATTCCCTTGCTGCTACAGTATTTTCAGCAATTTTTGTCTGCTGTGGCTTCCCCTTCCTCAATATTTTCTTGTGCTGCAGCAAGAAAATCGCTGTCTGTGAAGACATGACGATTTGGGGGAAATATTCCTGTTTTTTTTTAACCGTTAACGGCAATTGCCCCAGTTTGCACCTTTAGATACGCCTTTCCAAATAGTTCAGCTATGTCAAAATGTGTGACTGCCCTTTGATTCGATCTCAAAAATAATCTCAACTCCTCACTATAATGGGCTTTCAAAGGTCCCATTAACGTTTTATCTAAAGGTTGCATGTGGTGTGTAGAATGAGGGGGCAAGCACACTATTTCAACAAAATTATGCCTTGCCAACTTTATCATTTCCAAATTGCGGCAATGCGTATGGTGTCCGTCCAAAACTAGCAACACAGGATCGTTCTGTGATGGTTTCACCTTTTCAATAAAATGTAGAAACCACTGAGTAAAAATGTTGGTTTGAATCCACCCGCTTGGATGACAAACAATTTTTGTCCCAGGAGGAGCACCCTTTGCCAGTAGAACATTGGTATTTTTTCTGGGGAAGATTAGAAAAGGTGGAACAACACTTCCTCCAGAACTCATACACAAAACTGCCGTAACTAAGGATCTTCTTTCCGCAGATGTTAAAGCTCCTACCTGCTTCGTGCCCCTAAGCGTCAGAACATATTGGACTTTCGACTGAACAATAGATAAGCCAGTCTCGTCCATGTTAAATACTCTGTCAGCTGGATATTTATGATTTTCAAATGCTGTCTCCAAAATATCAAAAAAGAGGGTCACGCTTTCTTTATTAAAGCCTTTGGCTCTATGGATGGACGTCCCAGTTGGCTTCCTGACAGAAATTCTGTCTTTGTGTTGCTTTAGGAATAAATTCAACCATTTTCTTCCAGCGCTTTCATTATTTTTGAAAAATGGGTTTGGTAATCTATTTAAGGTAGCCAGCTGATATGCCATCCTTTTAACATCACTTCGTGTTAATCCATAAAACTTTTTTTCCATCAAAAGCAGATACTCTACCAACTGATCTTCTAACTTTTGTGGTAAGACCGCGGATCTTCCTAATTTTGTTTTAACAGCCTGAGCTGGTGTTGCATTTGACTTAGTTGAAAGACGGAATAATGTCGTGCGTGGAACATGTATCTGCGGCTTTTTTGTACCCCATCTCGCGACTCCGCACAGCTTCGATTGCACAAACCATGTCTTGTTTCCTCCATTCTTTACGACCCATGATATTTGTCTGTAAAGATGGCTAGGAATTAATATTTGGATTATTTTAACAGAAAGCTTTTGCAGTTTTCTCATGAAATTCTATAAAAAAAGCGAAGTGTTCCTAATATGGAATATTTCAACATAGGAACAGCGTGCTATTCCATATAAGGTACACCCGGCCATTTTTCTTTTCGTTTACCAAAGTTACGTGGTAACACGCTAATCTTAGATTTCAATATAAGAAACCTAAGCTAAAGTTATATAAACATACAAGACAGAATAGGATATTACTGTGTTTATTCTAACTGGGTGGGTATATCAAAATTTCGAATACATACCTTAAATAATTTACGATGCCGCGTAAAAACCGATCGAACTGCGAAATAACAACAGTTACGTTAAACGGTTCATAAACGACTGCCAGCACTCTCGTCTTGGCGTAACATGGTATTGGTGATGTTGTGGCGGTGTTGCCGCTCTTGGTTTATTAAATTTTAGGGTATTCCATGTAAGGAACATATTCCATATATGGCACATGTCCTCTATATAAATTTATTTTGCTGAATTCCAATCTTACTACGTTAATTTGACAGACACGCCTAACTTGACTAGCAAACGAAAAGTATGTGTATATTGTGTTGCCTGCTCACTTGAAGATTAATTTTATGATTAGCATAAAAAATATTTGTTAGTAAGTACTTTTAATATTGGTTATAATAACTCTTTATAGCTCATCCAATGTTTTAAAAGTTTAAATTTTACAAATAAAAAAATCAATTTAAAATACAAATAATAATAACCGGTGAGGATTGAATTCACGACCTTTAGGTTGAAAAACCAACACGCTATGCTCTAAACCAAGAAGACATGTTAAATATGAGTGTAAAAAACAGGGTAATTTATTTTTAATATTTTAATTATCATTTAAATATTAGAGAAAATGAGTTTGAGTAATAAATGTTCAACTAAAAGATTCAGATTGGTCTACATTTTCTTTTAACATACCGATTAGCTTTATAATAACAATCTTTCTAATGAAAGTAGGCGTGTGTAAAAAGTAACTTTCCGTCTATATGCGGCAATAACGTCAAAGTATGACAATTCATGGAAAACGTCAACTCTCCAGTTTGAATGTGCAAAAGCCTACTTTGGATAGTGATCGCAGAAAAAACATTGTACTGTAAAAATTAGTTTTTACACTCGTGTGATGTAATATAAATAACTATTTTATATAGCTCATTAACGGAAAAATAATTCATTCCAAAAAAAAAATGTGGCATAGAATCAGATCTTGTCGAATCATAGAATATTAAAGTTTTATAAAAACATTGTGGTCTCTATCCAGAATTATCTTAATTGAAAAGGTAACTAGTATTATTAATCGAAAAATCAAGATCTTTGGAATATACAGTATGAAGCGTTTAGAACTATAGAAAAAAGTTGATTTTATATTAGGAATGATTGAGATTTATGCTCATTTTGCTAAATTTCCCATAAAGTTACCTACATGTTTTTAGAGAGATCGATGGGAAAGGCATTACATGCCAGTTGAGTCTAGGATAGATAAACGGGTGTCCCTTTTAGTTTTTCTATTCCTCATAAGAATACCGTACCTAATTTAAAATGAATTACCAAATAAAATTATTGATAAATGAGCGGTTATGTATCTACTCGTATTACCATGAATACTAAAAAACCGATACTCAAAAATGTATGTCAAAAGTAAATGTTTACTAAAAATAGCAAGAAGAAAACAATTCTCACGTGTAGAAATTGACTCCAACGGAATTCCTTGTTCATCTGCAGTGCAATAAGGATCGCGAAATGAAGGGACATGCATTTCCACAAATTTCAAATGTTGGGTAGAAAACGACATAACTGGTACTATGAACTTCACTTTCAATAGAACTGTCATAATAGGTATCACTACCTGTAAACAATTAGACTACGAAAACTATTAAAATTCTTTTCCCAACCAATGTTCCACTATAAAGATATTATGTTTTACAATAAAATTATTATTAATGGCACTCAAATAGCATATTTTATTATTCGGCTTTATGAGGAAAATTGTTTATGGACCAATTATAAACGATATATTTCGCTACATTTTTTGAAAACTATGAAACACAACCATAAAGTATGGAATAAATTCATTATTTATTAAACAAAAAATATTTTCAAAAAAACAAGAAGCACATCGATTTCTAATTTTAATTTTCTACACTATATAAAAAAAAGAAATTATACAGGATGATTCACATTAGTGTAATGACGTCATGATATTTTCATATTATTCTTAACGAGCTGATTCCGATTAAGTATGATACTTGGAGTCAAATGAAGAGAATTTGAAAGATACGGGCTTAGAAAATAAATTTTATTTATTTTTAATGATTAATTTAAAGAATTAAAACAAAGCCAGTAATAGTTGACTTTATTTTAAATATTCGAACTGTATCCGATTCTTTTTTAATTCATCAATATTTTCTGGTTTCGTTTTGTAAACATCATTCTTCCAATAGCTCCACATAACATAATACAAAGAAGTTAGGTCTGGCGACATCGTTGGCCATTCAATATGTCTACGTCTACCAATCCAGCTGTTAAGAAAAATTTCATCAATATGGCGCGCCATCCTTTTAAAACCATAAACGTTCATCAAAACGTCCAGGATTTATTCAACTGAGTAATACAATACAAAGTATGTATAGTTGACGAAGCCGAAATGTGAACGTCAAAATTTTATGGCGTAATTTAAACTTTGCATCATTTTGTCAGATTCAAATTTGACAGCTCTTAAAAATAATTGTCAAATAAATTTTCAAAAATGCCGCAGCATATGGCTTAAGCTGAAAAGTCATAGGTTATAGCAAAATTAAAAAAAAACTTGATCTTTAAGTAAAGTGGCTGCTGAATTAAACGTCAGTAACAGATGCATATTTTACGTTAAGAAACGCTGGCAAGAAGAACAATGATCTCAAAGATTTTTCAGACACGGTATATTTATGGTCTCTAATAAAAATGAAAACAATGCTCTGTTATAATATATTTGTCAAAATCTTTATGGAACCACTGTGAACGCACGAGCAAGAACATTATTCCTAGGATCTCTGAGATATCCACACCGCAGTATTAATGCGCTTATCAAAGAGGATGCCATGAAAACTGTAAACCTCGAAGATAGCATCAAACTTCTGCTGTCACTTTCATGACTCGGTGATCACAGATGTAGCCGACGGGGCAGAGGAAGTATGCAACCCATCTGTCTACGATTAGCAAAATGCCAAACACATTGTAGACGATGACAACAAAATATCTAGCTTCTCTCCAGTTAAATCGCCAGTACCTGACAGTATCTTTCCAACCCTACTTCAATGGGGTCTTAAAGAACTCACACCACACTAGGTAGGTATATTCAGATCCTCGCTGGATCTGAGGTACATACCCCAAAAATGGAGAGAGGTAAAGGTAGTCTTTATACCCAAACCTGGAAGGATGGATTACGCTGTACCAAAAACATACCGACTAATAACCCTGACATCGTTTTCCTTGAAGACATTGCAAAGGCTACGCAAAAGGTACACTTAGCGTCATATAAAAGTGGTACAACTCTTATAACAAAAAATCATGCTTTTCAAGCTGTGTAAATTGATCTTTTAAAATGTCTCAAAGTTAAACTTCTTTTTAGGTTATAATTTCTAGAACAACGAAAATATTAGTAAATGCAATGATACAAATAAATTTGGTAAAAATCAATAAAACGCAATTTAAAATGAATAAGTTTGAAATTTAAATACATTTTACAATTCGAAACAGATACAATAAATAATTAATATATTGTCATAGCTCCAATATTAATAATTTCTTGTATTCTTCTAAGCAATGCGTTAATTAAATTTATTGTCAACTTTTCATCTTCTGCCAATCTTTACTGATTCATTTAAAACGTACTAAAATTTGAGGTGAAGATAACTCTAATTAGCGTATTTACTTTGCTAAGTTTGTATTTTCGGGGTGGCGCGGCTGCACAATTTTTTAAATCAATTTTTCTAATTATTCTTAGCAATTTTGTTATTGAAGCATTAAAATTTGTTTCAACTTTTGTCTATCTTGCCGTAAATAATTAATGTTTCATCTTGTTGTGCTAGTTATAAATGGTGTCCCAGTCCCTCTTTTTCTGTTTACAATTTGATTGTTGTCCCATTTTTGCAAAGCTTTTTATCGTGGTTTTCGCATTTTATCAAACTTACTTAAATGACCTGACATCATAACCATGCGCTTTAACAAACTTGACAAATCTTACTGTTTGTCATTTACATTGGGAAAAATAAGTGTACCAGTTTTATATGACGTGAAGAGTACATAATGGATGTGGCGATTACAACAACACCACTGCAGCCAAATCTACATACATTTACCCCAGGCAGATCTACTGATTCAGCCCTTCACCTTGTTTCTGGCCGGATAGAGAGATCACTGGACATTAAAGAGTCCACATAGACATAGAAGGTGTTTTTGATAAGAGGATCTTTACCAAGATAATACACTCACTAAACAACAAGTATGTTCCACAGATGGTTAGTGGGTGGATACACAGCAAGCAAATAGAAGAGCCGGAAATTATAGCTACGATTCATATCTAGCAGTGACAAACCTAATTAAAGAACATTCCCTTGTGAAATTCAAGAAAAGATGGGATGAAACAAGAAGCTGCAGACTTGCCAGGGAGATTTTAAGTTATCCTGACAACACTACATCAAACAAATACTTGACTATGACTAGACAGAATCTGCGCCTGATCACAGGCAGTCTGACTGGACATTGTCAACTACGGAAGCATCTCCATATCATGGGGCTGGCAAAATATGCATTCTGCAGGGGACGCGAACAAAAAGATGAATCCATCGAGCATATCCTCTACGATTGTTTGACACTCTCATTTATTAGAGGATTTGTGTTAGGCGAGAATTGTCTAATACCGGCCAATATAAGAGAAGCATCTCTTGGCAACTTTGTCGACTACATTAAATCTGTAGGCTTCCTCACGAGCTAGGAGGTGTTTATCTACTTAGGAAGATGCACAATGGGCCTAGTAAGGCCTAAGTGCCGTCGGTTAATCCATCCTCCATACGTTACAGGTACACATGTAGAGGATTTCTGAGAACAGCTCAAAAACATTTAAAACAAGCTGGTTAAAAAACTACTCTGCTGCACGCAAAGTTTTTTAACTGCAAAAAATAGGCCCATGAGAGTCCATTTTGTAAATGAATTATTAACAGAAAAACCCCAGTTTCACAATCTCAAGTTACCTACTGGTTAAATGATAGCCATGGGTTACGCGTAAATGAGTGTTTCACAATAGTATGTTAAGTTTCCAAGTGGATGGTAACCATAAAAATATTTAATTCTTAGTGAGTAGGCAATTGAGCAGGAAAGTTAACAGCGTATGTTGCTCGCGCTGTCATTGCTCATGTCACTACCGCTGCCGCACGCTCCTTTCATTGGCGGTATTTTGAATGGAAGTCACATGACTGGCAGCACGAGCGGCAGCACCAGCGGCAGCGACTGTTTACATGCTGCCCGCTGTCTTGTCATGTTGCTTTACCAAGTACACACAGAAAAACGTATGTGTTTGTGGTTTGGTTAATTATTGGCTCCAATCATATTTTAACCATGACTGAGAGGAGCAACGACCAAGTCCTACAGTTTTTAGAACTATATGCAATTGAGGGATTATTATGGGTACCTTCACATATAGATCACAAAAAAAACACAAAGTACACGATGCGTGGAAAAGGATAAGTGAAAACCTATGCTGGCAACATTCCGACTGCTATTATAAAATAATAAGCGATGATAAGTTCTGTAGTGAGTGCTGAGGAGGTGTTTTAGTCCATTTGGTTTTTTATCACATTTCTTTTTTAAACATTAATAATATTTAGTAAACTCAAAAATTAGAGCGCTGTGCTGCGGCAATTTCTACGCCCTCCATTATTGCTAGAGGATAATATGTAGGCACGATAGCAGTAGTAAATAGCCACTTTCTTCAGAGACTGTCGTGGAATTATTCAGAGCAGGACAGCGGACAGCGCGAGTAGCAGCGGCAGTGGCTGCATGTAAAGGCGGCATTAGACTATACCGTGTTATTATCAGTAAGATAATTTTTTCTGACAATTTTACCTTTCAACATGCAATAAATTTGTTTTACAATCATTGATTGTTATTACAGGATAATTCACCAGTTTATACGACACGAATAGTAAGACATAAGACAACAATGATATAGATGTTTTGCCATGGCCCGCAAAAAATCATGACTTGAACCCCATTGAAAATGTATGGGGCTTAAGAGCTAAAAAGATATATCAAAGAGAATTTAGACCGGCAAACCGCGGTCAACTATGAGAAGCTATTAAACATCCTTGAGAAGAGTGACATTTGTCCATGTCAAGAAGATTGGAAAGCGTTGTGATAGCCAATAGCTCTGCAACACTATCCTTGCTATAGCTATTAAATTTCGAGAAGATCATTCTCTTCATTTTCATTAGATACCTTCCTTAATCATTGTCTGAAAGGTCTTCTCTTTGTTGTTCTTGCCAGCGTTACTTAACGTAAAGTATGCAACTTTTACTGACTTTATTTCAGCACTTACTTCACTTAAAGACCAGTGTTTGCCCAATTTCTAGATATTAATTTAATTTTGTAATAAATATTTGGAGGGTATATGTGGTACCATAAAGCCAACACGTAGGGGTCCTAGTCCTAGTAAGGGATAGAATGCTCATCATATGATATATCCAGAGAATGTTGTTGCCCTACACCCTGCAGTAGCCTGCGGCCGTTATAGAAAATGTACAACTACAAAAAGAAGTGCAATGTCACCCATCATACTACAGTGTACTGCGATCGTCATAAGTAAAAGTACGAGTAAAAAAAGAAGAT